TGATCTGCCCTAAGAAGTTCTGTGGCCACATAGGTTATGTAGGACATGATAAAATTTTGCTTCATTAGGGCAGTATTACTTTCATAGATCTCTGTTGTGAAGGGAAATCTACAATATACTATATCAATTTTGGACCTGTGCTATATTTCTTTCTTCCTAAAAAAACTCTCAAAACTCTTTTTTTTCCCACAATTATTAATTTGCCAATATCTTTCATATATTTAATTGTATTACTGAAAAATGTGGACACATTATTATGAAAAATTCTTAGTACCAGTTATTTTGCAGAAGTTAGTGATGGTTTTGCAATGGATATCACATTGAGAATGACCAGTTTCATGAGCATGCCTACTTTGATCCAGATTAAATTTTAGGAAGAAAAGATTTGCGTTTATTTAATCTCTCTACAGAAGGAGAGAAAAAGAGTGGGGAGAGATGTGTAAGTTTGTGTAAGTATTTATGTGTGTGTGCGTATGTATATTTATAAATAGCCACAAACTGAGTCACAAAAATACACTTAAGTTGGTAGTAGGAAGCATTATACATACTGGCACAGCCAGGTCAGGAAAAGGAGGAGAGATTAGTGCTTTTCTGCTTTCCCAGTTGTGAAGTGTTTTGAAAAGCCAAACTGCTGCCAGAACAATTCAGACCAGCCAGGTTGCTGCTCTGAGTTACAGATGCTTTTGTTGGGTTGCCTGTGGGTAGTTCTGCAGCCTGCAGCTGTCAGGAGAATTTGGAGCAGCTATAGCATTGAATGTTACTATTTCCTGCTGTCCAGATTAGGCAGGAGTTGACATAGAAAAACATTTAGAATAGTTGGCTCTGATTGGTGCAGGAGTCTTTTTAGCAAGGAAAAATGTGTGTGTGTGTGTGTATACACAGGTGTAAGCATGTGTAAGTAGAAATGCAAATGAGTGGGTTAAGAAATTCTTCTTATATAAAAGTATTTCTCTTTTCACTTCATTTGTACCTTTGTTACAATCCCCTGTCATGACATCAATAATATTCCTGGTCCCAGCAGAACACTGTGGTTTCATCCCCTCCATGGTGATGTAAAATGACAGATAAAGCAATCTGGCTGGCTAAATAACTGTGTTTGCCTTATGGGTCCTGGTGTGGGAGAGGGGGTGTGAGCAGACCCCAACCAAGCCAAGGAGAAGTAAAATTATCTGTGGCAAGTGAAACATTGTGGCACAGTAAAATTTCCTGTGGAAGAGAAAAATCTGTGTGTCCTCTTCTGTCAAAAATATGTGTGTGGAAAGGCGCATTCCTGCCATTTAGCCCACTGATAGTCTGCATTCATTTGCCTATATGTGAAAATTTGTATTTGGATAAATATCAGGATATTAATCTGTTATGACTCTAGGTTTTTCAAAAGGTTCTGAGAGAATCTGCAAATGACTTTGAAATTCTATGGGACATGGACATACCACTGTTCCAGGCAACGCTAAAAATGCAGCTGACACAGATATATGTGCACATTAACATAAAACATAGATACAGTAGAAATTTCAGTATCAATGAATGAAAAAGATTATGTCACTTTAGTAGGATTTTTACAATGCAGCAGACTTATGCAAGGGAGGCGTATATAATGTAACCGTATTTCCTGTTTGAGAGGAAACACTCAGTGCTATGACATCTGAAGAAAACCACAAAGACCCTTTCCTGTGGACCATAATGAGAAAGGGTTACATTTCTACCAAGTTTCACATTTTCATTACAAGCTTTTTAATGAGAAGGGATTAATTTTCTGCCATTTTCCACTCTCATTACAACTCAGTCAAGAGAATGAGGTATCGGGAGCTTAATGCCTAATTTATATTCAATGAATCTTAGTAGTGAGCTGCACTCTTTTGACCTTTTCAATATTTTATATTTTGATTGGGTGGTCATTTGACTTTTGCATTGTTTATAATCTTATTATAATAGTGTATAGAAGAAAAAGTGGACTGGCTATCCAGTCAAAACTGCAGAATAACAGAAAGGTCAATTTAATACTATGCATATGTATATTCAAGAATATACACAGCATTAAATTTTGGAAAATTTTCTGATCAAACTATGGAAATGAAAGTGACACTTGAGTCCATGTGATCAACCTTACAACCAAAACTGTGGACTATCACAAATCTGAGATATTCTGTAACCATGGATATTGCTTCTTCTTCCTCCTGTAGTCACTTAACATTTTTAGCAAATAATATAAAGATTTGCAAAAATATTTTATCATATTTTAAAGTTCACTTATCCATACTTTGCATACAGATGAATGACTGCAGAAGGATCAAGATGGTGAAGAATTAGGTCCACTCTACTGCTATTAACTATGAGAAGTTAATACTTCTTGATGTGCTCATTAATATCTATGTTAAATATTTTCATATATTTTTATAAAACTCGCATTGCAAAACTAAAATATTTTAAAAATCAGGTTAGAAATGATAAATCTACACAAAATTGAACTTTAATGGTGGAATACTAAGAATATCCCCCAAAATTAGTAACAGAATTACCAAAACAATGCATTTTTGGCACATCATTTGAATTTACTTGACTAGGCAACCAAAAATTTGTAATCAAATTTTATCTGAACTTCAGGGCTTGAAAAAACATATAAGAATACAGCTTTTTCTTACCTTTTAGTTTCTTTCAGTTTTATGGTAGGCTGAAATACAAAACATTTCAACATATGGTCAAATTATCACTTGTTTAAAAAGTCATGTGCAAACTTACTGGCTACAATATTTTGGCATTATTTAATTTTGAGTCAGAGAAATTACCAAATTGTGTTATTACAAAGTTGTATCCGACTTTTTAATTAATGAAGTACTCAGATAATTATTCTTTTAAACCTGACATAATAATTAACTTATATCATTTGATTATTAGAAACAAATATAATTCATAATTTGTGTCATTGTATATAACAAACACATTATTCAGTCTTTAGCTGTTAATTCTCAAAAATGCATTCATTAGTCAGTTATAATTAATTTGCCATACAATGCATGTCTTATTAAATGTAAATTAAATCCATTTTGAGACCTATCATTTAAAACATTACTCAGAATGTCACTGTTGGACAGCCTCAATGAAATGTCATTTAATAGAGTTTGTGAGGCCAGAGGGAGAAATAACAGTTTGGATAATGAGGGCACTATCAGTCCTGTGCCATTTTAACTGAAAGAAAAATTAATATATGAGATCCCTGCAAGACGAGTTAAAAGAAGAAAGTGACAAAAGTAATTGAATAAAGTAATGTGAAATAATGTGACAAAAAGTAAAGTGAAGGGACTCTTCACCTTAAACAAGCCTGGTCAAATACATTTTTGGCTTCAAGTTATATCAAACATAAATGCAAGAAACAAAAGATGACTGCTTCCTCTGCAAAGCAGAATGTGATGGGGTAGAGCCACTATTCTCAGTAATATTTGGTTATATCTGTCATGTATAAGCCAAGGCAACATCAAGTATTTCAATTTATTTCAATTTCCAGAAAATAATTACCAAAGTTGCATAGCAGTAATATTTTGCACTATCATTATGAAAGAATGTGAGAAGGAGAGCCTGTAAAATGGAGTGGCTGAGAATTTGTGTGATAATGAATTAAAAAAAAATACAAAAAACAAAACAACAAAAAAACCCAAAAATCCGTAGATCAGAGTATCTCTTAGGACTTGTTCTGTGTTTTAGCAAGACTTAGTAATAAATTTCAGAACAACAAAGCTGACTGTCCTGCAAGGTTCTTTGTCTTTCTATTACTGAAAGCTCTTCTCATTAATCTGAGGTGATACTTTCAGTGTAAAAGACAGCACAACTTCAGGATATAGAATGATCTAGTAGGAACCATAATTTGAAAGTAACCATTGCTAAACAGGATTTTTATATGTGCTTGCTATGGTTAATAGTGATGTAAACTACAGGTATTCCTGCCATGAAGAATCCTATATATTCAGACCATAATGGATACAACTTCCTCATGAGCTTCCTGCCGTACTAAAGCTCACATTCCTCTGATAGCAGTGCTTTGGTTACTCCAAAAAACAAGATCTAATCTCTCCTGACTGTACTTCTGAGAGTGTAGACTCCAAAATACTCAGGGGAGTTCATTGCTTTCAATTCATCTATACTTGTCTAATGTGTGCTAGAAAAGTTAATAAATCAACAGTTAATTATTTGGGATAACAGCAAACTTTTTGAAGGCGGAATATTGTATATGTGGTACCTATGTACTGTGTTAACCACTACATGCATAACTGCCTGGCACAGGTACGCTGAATTTATGTCTGGCTTGCCACTTGATCTGGTATGACATGTCCAGTCTGGTCGTTATCATCAGTAGTGTGTGTAAACTGTACAATTGCCACAATTATAGGTATGCATACCATTTTTTTAATTCAAAATTAAATGTCACTCAGTAGTTACTATTGAAAAAAAAAAATGAAGCCTCAGTGTCCTGGAATGGCAACAGTACTTAAAGGCATGTTGTAATTTCCAAGACTGAGCCATATGACACATTTCCCAAGGGCCTAAGCCAGCTAACAGTCCAAGTCCTATTTTTAGAAATGAATTAGAGTCAATAGAATTTCAATTCAATTAGAACTTAAGAGTCAATAGAATTTCAATTCAATTAGAACTTAAGTCAATAACCCTCAGGGTACCACAGACCACAGACACATGAGTCTTTTTTAAACTGGCTAGGTCTGGTGATCTAGTCATGGTATCACTAAATTTTCTGCATCCTAAGTTAAGTAAGTCCTACCTTCCTCTGAGAATCTGGCTTTATGAACCTATTTAATTTTGGAAATAGAATTAGGACTTCAAAAACAGTTAGATGTCTTTGTAAATGTTATTCTTTATCCAGACACTCTACTTTATCTGCTGCCCTGTTGTGCGATATCAGAAACACAGTATAGACTCCAATTTTTATGGAGACTTTTCATTCATGTCTTCCAGAGCAATTATACAGCACCATGGGATGAAAACATCTGCTACTGCATTCTGAGGGAGAAGAATGTAAAAGCATTCGCTGAAGACTCGTCAGGTACTCTAGTGAAATCTCCATCAAGACATTTGCTGTTCTGTGCTTTCATGCTGTACTCTGAGACTATCAGTTAGGAAAATAGAATAATTTATCTCCCAGCTAGGTCATTCTCCTCTAGTGCCAGTCTATTTTGTAGGTTATTTTGTATGTGCATGTGTCTATTTGTGTGCTTGTGTTTATGTACGTCAAAGATTAAATGTTTTATTTGATCAGAATTAATTCAGTATTCAGTTGGTCTCTAGTGATCAAAAAGTTGCCGAAGAAATAGGAAGTAAAATGAATTCCTTTGGATATTCTTGAGGATTATACATCTGACATTGAACTAGATGATTTGCACATTTCATTTCTGTAGCACACAAAATCATAGCTTGGTAATTTTTTTGCATTTTACTTTTAGGCAGTAGATATCTTAGCTCATATTAAAAGGAAGTTGCACTGCCAGAAGAAGGACTGGCAGAACAGTTAGAGATGAACAGTTCTTGAAAGTCTGAAACACAAAGTTCTGATGAATACAAAAAGACCGGCTCTTGCTTCTGCTGTCATCTGACCTACCACAAAACATACACTATCTCTCTAGCTATGACTAATCAGGAAATTGCCGTCTTTCTTCAGCAGCACCTTATTCCACAAAGCTCTGTAAGCTCTTTACAAAGCCTTGGCTGCTGTCTCTTTAAATTACTGACAGAATTTTATTTTGTATCTTTTACCTGCTCCATCACAAAGATTCTTGAGAACAGAAATTAAAAATGCAAAATTTGTCTCTACCTAAGATTTGAAAATTCCCCCATCCTCCTCCTACCAGCTAAAATACAACTCCAAAATTGCAGAGTTGGGATGAATTAGTATTAGTGATATAAAACTTCTTTGCATCTTTCCCAGTTTTTTTACTGGGCTTTTGCCTATTCACTCTGCTGTGCTGTCTTTTTGTTTGTTTGTTTGTTTGTTTGTTTGTTTGTTTTTCCCCATCCATTTCTCATGAAGTAATTGGTGCTTTTCCTAAACTTAACTTCTGAAATAAACAAATTGCCTGAATATCAGCTTTCATTTTTAAAAAAGTAGATTTCTCTCCTGCATATTTTTCAGAAAACCCAAAATATGAAACTTGTATTTCAGAAAATCAAATAAAGAATACTTACTTCAGAAAAAAAAGGTTTTTTTTTTCTCACAAACTTGACTGCATAATTGCTTGAACGGTGGAATTTATTATTTGTTAACTCTTTTTCCCCTTCCTTCTCCCCCTGCAGACCTGTTAAGTATTTTTTTCTGACTTGTCAAGATATGTGTTACAGATCTCTTTCCTATGTTATTTTCATCAATTGTTTAATACAGGTAGAACTAGCAGGTAGCGAAGCCTTTTTAAGGAAACTGATAAATCATGTTTATGTGTAAAATTTAACAGTGGTTTCATATAGCTGGTCCATGATTCTTCTTCTAAGATTCTTGCCTTTCTCCTAAGATTCTTGCCTTTCTCCTAAGTAGTATTATCAGGAACCATTTCTTCTTCTCCTCCCATTTCTCTAGTAAGTGAGCAGATGTCAATATATCTTGGCTATGATACTACATTTAATGTCTCAGAAATTTTAGTTCTGAGACTCCTCGGATTCAACAGACTCTCTGGAGCATTGCTTTCTGCGTAGACAACAATGCTTGCAGTGGTCCCGAGTTTCGTCTTTGCTTTTCATTTCCATAATGAATCATTTTGTGATGCAGATTGAAGAAATTTAATTGCAAATTTACACGAACCAAAAAAGTTACAGACTCTTTCCATATTCTGTATTTGCAAACAAAGAGAAGGAGAAAGGGGATAGCCTTCATCAAGTAGCTACTCGTTTTCAAATTATTTCATCAGACAGGTCTATTTTTTCTTTTTTTTCTTTTTATGGAAAGTCAGGTGGATGTATGTTACAAACATAGCAGTAATGCCTGAACACAGTTTTCAAATAACAAAAAAAAAATGGCAATCTCAGATGGCAAGTGAACAATCCTCTTCTTTTGCAATTGACTTTTGTATAGATAGAGGCAAGATATTTGAGATTAGTCACACTGCAAATTATTCATTTGAGATTAGAAATAGTCCCTCAGAGTCATGTGATCTGAAAATGACTATGCTCAATCAATTATCTTCATACATATATAAAATTAAATTTACACAAACTATCTAGTCTTACTAGGATCAAATAATAAGCCTGGGGGGTTATACTGTATAGACACTTAAGAGCTTTGAGTGATTTTTTTTTTTTTTTTTTGTATGCTCAGTGCCAACTCTGCTCCTGCTGTGTTGATTTGCCTTCTTCTTGGAACCAAAGTGCAAAACAGCAGGAAGGATGTAAAGGATTTCTTGCACGATCACTATAGTATTCAGCTGGTCTGGGATCCTAGACCACTGTCTGCACTTCTAATGTTTCCAAATGCATCAGGGAACTAATTCTGTTGTACAATGATGTACAATGATGAATAAAGGATAGCCACTATAAAAGATTAGGGTTCCCACTCTTACTCTACTAGTTGGACATAAAAAACAACCTTAAATGTCTTTGCTTCTTAAGGGCCATTGAAGGTCCAGTAGCATTGTGATTTCAAACTTTGTCTCCTGCCGTCTGGCTGAAGAGAGCTCTATACCCTGTTTTAATTAAGCTGTTATTATAAATAAGCTCAGTTATTTCTGTTTCTGTAGTCCACAGGGCATCTGTGGCACTGCATCACAGGGCACTGATGCTAGAGTCCTGATCAGCAGCATGGAAATCGTTTTTTCCATAGCAGCATTAAACAATATCCTGCTCTGAACATCATGTCCTGTCAGGTCCACATATGTACTCAAAGAATGGCCCTTCCTGTTACTGCCAACAAAGACGTATTATCTGAACAAATAAAGAAACAAAATTAAACAAAAAAAATCAAAATATTACAATTTTGCATAGGACAACAATCCCATTTCCAAATGAACTTTGACACCCTTAGAAGTTTTGGGAGCGTGCTGTGGTCAGCACAAGATTTCCAAAACTACTATATAGATTCTCCATTTACACAACCTGTATACTTTGTCACCAGGAATCAGCTCATCAAATTCATTTCCAACTGCAAGGTCCTACTACACTGACAATACCTGGTTAGCTTCTCAGATTGCTCTTCTGAAAGATACAAGTCTTCTCACAAGCATAAAATGCAAAATCTATCAAAGAAAGAAGCAGAATAAATCAGTCAAATGAAACCATGCCTCTGTTCTTTTGTATTTCAGGGAATATAGAATTAAGCTTCTATGCTCTTTAAACTGCAGTTTGGAATCAGTAAATATCTAAATGCCATAACTAGCATCTTCAAGTTTCCTTGTGGGTATTCATTTCATTATCATCTACACCACACATTTAAAAATGAGGATGATTGGTGCATTCTGAGTTGTTTCTTTTTTTCCTATGTCTTCCAAGATTTTTTTCTGTGTTATATGAAGATACAGAGGAATATATGAAGCATATACATTTGTTCAATAAGAATTGAGATATCATCTGGTTTAAACCTGAATGGTTCCCTTCATATCTACTGTTGACATTTAGTAGAGATAGAAACCTGGCTAAAAAACAATGGCTAATCACCCCTCAAACTTGCACCTCCCACCCCCCACAAAAGACATTTTCCTCAAGAAAAAGAAACATGGGAAGTGTGATCACATCCCCATTTCACACTGTATGGTCCCTGGAAGAGGTATTTGGATATACCTTCTCACTGGCAAAAGGAAGCAAAAAAAAAAATCAGGGCGGTGACTGAGCCTGGATTCACACAGGAGGAGGTTTAGTCCCCTGCAGCAGTCAAGGTGATTTGAAACAGCTAAAGGATCTAAACTAATTTGTCTTACAGTGAGATGTTGCATGACAGAAGGAGGAGATATTTGTCAGTGATTTGAGTGGAAAGATAACTAAATCATTCCTGGCGAGCACAGCAATCTGGGTGGTCTGTGAAATGGGAGACATGGCATACACACTGCCTTAGGAATGAAATACTACAGCCCATAAATGTGGCTGGCCGGAGGAGTTCCTTTGTGTACATTGTCCGCTCTCCGGTTTTCCTCTTTTGTGTGCCTTCAGATTTGTAGAGGAAGAGAACTTCAAGCTGTATGAACTATTCCTATTTCCCTCATTCCCCAGCCCTACCAATGTTCCTGTTGTGCGATAAGTACTCAATGATATTATGCAGGAAATGTCATGAATTCTGATCTTTGATTAGCTTGATAAGCGATAGCAACTCCATTGTCTCTCTCCACTGAAAGTCGATGCCACTGCTTCACATTTTACTATTGTTTTTAATGATCTTTGGCCAGCTTCAGAAGCAAAGGAAATTAAAGATCCTTTTGTGCTTTTGCTGGTCTGCAGCTATACAAAGAACAAATTCTGCACCATTACAAATTGCTGAGTCAGCCTAGCTTCAGAACTAATAGTTTCTTTGAGAAGGTAATACTACCTAAATAGAAGCTGAATAACAATAATAATCTTTTCTGTTTTCTGCTGAGTGCCTTCTGGACAATTTTTCATGAGATTTTCAAATTAAATGTATTAAATGTATTAAGGGAAAATATTAATGACAGAGAAGTAAGAACAAACTGTAGGAGGGAAAAAAAATAATACAAACCTGCTTTTAACATTTCATAAAGTAGTATTTATAGTGTTCAGTTTATATTATGGGCAAAAATGGAGCATAGTTATTGTAAAAGAGAGATAAGCTGCAGGATGGCATGCAAAAGGAATGTGGGCAGAAAAAAAATTCATATAACATGGAAAGCTCTCATGATATAGCGTGATATCCATTCAAAACACTGTTCAGAAACATTTAACTAGGACTACTTGTATTTGAATAGGCTCATCAAACCTTGGATTTCTGGATTTAGGATCATTAGTAGAAAAGACAATATTTAGACATATGGCCATACTATTCAAGACTTTCAAATGAGCATTTGTTCCATTTGAGAATATTAAAATTGACGCTCCAGAAAATCGGGCTCAACACTATCAGTG